AATAACTGCATTCTCTGGAGGATAGTAAAAGAAAGTTGAAAAAAGCACACAGAGGATAAGTTACTCGCTTATAACTAGCAGTAATTACATTTATGGTAATTCTTGAACAGTTCATTGAAATAAAGCATTAGTGTGAGAGCTTTTAATTATAAAATATCAATGGATGAATCATATGCTAACGATAAAGAAATGGCCCCGCAGCAGCTTCTTAATAATCAGGTTGTATGCAGCTTCTTAATAATCAGGTTGTGTGCTTGAAGATGAAGAATATCATTTTTCAACAGGCAAATGTGTTCATTTTTTTTTTGCTCACTAATGATTTCTGCTACTGCAGGTGAACAAAAAAAGTTTGAAACTGAAAAAGAAAGGTTGTTTTGCCATCTAAATCTGTTCATGACAATAATAAAGGACTTGATTTCTAAAAGGCTTCAACATTGAATCTTAAGATAGGAATACTATGGTATATAATCTTTTTGCTTTACCTTGGAGTTTTTTGGTAAAATGTTAGCAAGGTTTCTGGTCTTTGATGGAGCTATAGAAAGGTCCAATGCTTTTCAAGCAAGAATACATGCAAATATACAGTACACAGCAGATATCTATGGGAAACCTTGAATGACCTCTCCAAATTAATAAGTAAATAAACCTCTGCCATTTATATTATTTAGAAAAGCTACCATAATTTTCTAAATTAAAAAAAAAATGTCTTTCTCTTCATGTATTTGCTTTCTAAGAAATGGTAAATGATGATTGCAGCTGTTACAAGGCCCTGAACTTAAACAGTGAAATTTTGCTATCTTATAGGGAACATCCAAAAATGTTCATTGTGTCTAAGCAGTACTTTGAAATTCTACTTTTTGACTGTGAAATAGCAAAATTCTGTTTGTGCATGTTAAAGTATTTTTAGCAATGACACTTCTAATTGCTAATTCTTTATCTTGAGACACATAGCCGTATGTATGTACATTGTGATATCCAAGGCACTTTGCTCTTGGTTGCTATACTCATGAAATTTGTATTGAAACTCACTTGTGTCACTACTGTGTTGCTTTTTTTGTGCCAGTAGCCATGGCCCAACCTGTCTCCATGCCAGCTGCTCCTATTCATCCAGTTCCTATGCCTGCTGCTCGAGTATAGCCTATCTTCATGTCTGATGCTCCACGTCATCCTGTTCCTGCACCAGCTGCTCCAGTCTAGCCTGTTTCTGGATTCTCAGTCTTTGCCCAGTCCTTTCCTGTGATGGCAGGTAATGTTTTACCTGTCCTGTGTTCAATTATCCTGTCCAGCTTGTTCCTCTCTAGAACTCTCAGCACCCCAGCCTTTCTCCACTGTGGTAATACCTCCCAAAATATTTCTAAGACATTTCATCCATCGTTGGGTTAGATTTGTTAACTCAGCTAGGTAGGGTCCTCAACAATTTCTCAAATCTGCTGTGTACCCTAACTTTGCTTCAGAAGTCATGCATCCCCTCATGCTTTTGAGGGACTCCAACCTTGACTTGGTCTGCCAGCTTGACTCAGCTGGTCCTTTGCCTGCTTTGCTTAAAGCTGGCCATAGATGGATAGTTTTCTTTTGTTCAGCCAGTGGACTGATAGAAACAAAACCAACAGATTTCTTCATCTACAGAAACAAATTGGATGGAGGAATCTCTGAGGACAATGATCAGTGGCTGCATTCTATTGGCTGTATCAGCAAATGTTTAACTTGTCAGCTTGACAGGAGTTGATCTAACGATTAACTTCCCTTGAACAGGAATGGCTACACACTGATAAAAATGAATCCACTGGTCATCTATGGTCATCTTAACTCCCCAGATACTTTACTTTCTGCACAGCCTGACTCCACAAACCCTCTGCCTTCTGCCCAGTCTAACTCTGTAGATTATCTGCCTGCTGCCAAGTCTGCCTCCAGTGTTAAGGTTGAGCTTCTGCCACCTGAATTGTCTGGTACTACTAGGTCACCATTCTTGTTATATTCTTGCCTGTTTGGCCCCAAACCATTTTAGTAGCCAACTTTCCCAAGTCTCGTTTGCAGCCTGCTGTTTCTATTGTGCCAAAGCCTATTGACCCAAACACTCACTTCAGAATTGATACTTATATGAACAAGGACAGCCCCAGTTCGGTATTTATATGAACAAGAACAGATCTTAGCAGTGATGCACAGGTCGCTTCCATCTGACAAAAAGGGTTAAATGGACCAGTGGTTTTCTCCACGTAAACCAAAGAACAGGGGCATTTCAGGATATAAATGCAAAAATTTGTATCAGAGTTGAAATATTCTTGTATGGAGTATTTCTATCCTGAATTTGAATTGAAGAGAAGTATTAAAATGATATTAAAGGCAATAAAAAAAAAACAAACAAACATGTTATACTTACTTGCTCTGTGCAATGGTTTTGCCCAGAACAGCCCCGATACTCCTTTTCTTGGGTCCCCCGCCAGCACTCAAGGCCCCTCCCTTCTGTCTAGTGCCCCCATAGCAAGCACCAAAGCAAGCTTGCTCCTGAGCCGCTGCTCTGCATGTCCATTTACACACAGCGCTATGGCCCCACCCCCTCTCTCTCCTTGTTGACTGTGATTTATAGCAGTGGGAGCCAATGTCTTCCACTGCTGTCTCAGTCAAGAGAGTCCCCAGAGAGCCAAGGCTCTTGTGCACATCACTGGATTACGATGAGGCTCAGGTAAGTATTGGGGAGGGGCTGGGGGGAGAGTTGCACACAGAAGGTACATATAATGAACAAAGAAAACACTGATCATACTTTTTTTTTCTTTTGGGGAGGGTGAGTTTGTCTATTCTAGTGAGTGCAACATTTTAGAGACCTATTCAGGACATCCATAGGATACCCATGATCAATGATCATGGGTCTTGTGGCTGCACAATAGAACAGATTCACAGAACTCTCATAAACCCAGAGAAGATTGTCCTCTAGGTGCCTAAAATGGATGAACATGAGTTAGTGCTCAGGTTACCATCCTCTTGTATGGAGGTCAGTAAATAATCTGTGAATGAGAAACCTCAGTATTAAAACAGCTACAGTTGTGTCCAAAATTATTCAACCCCCAATGCTGTAAAGGGGTTTAGGGACTATAGTGTACATTTGGAATTGTAATTCAGAATCAAATCCTACAAGGACGTTGTAACTACCCAAATGCAACTAAAATGACATCAATTGTTTATGTAATACAGTAGTAAAATGGTTCTTATGTGGTTTCTTCATTGCCACAATTATTGACTACCACTCTGAAGAACAGAGGTTCATACAGGTGCTTTCCATCAGGTATTGAAAACACCTGTGGATGTCACCGAGCAGCAATCAAGCATAATAAGCACCAATTAGGCAGCTTTAAAATGACTGTGATACTCAGCTCCTTCTAGACATTTACTGGTGTGGTTACAAACATGGTGAAGGCAAGAGAATGGTCCAGGAAGACAAGAGAAGAGGTGATTTCTCTTCACAGGAAGGGCAATGGCTATAAGAAGATTGCAAAGATGTTAAACATACCAAGAGACACCTTAGGAAGCATCATTCGCAAATTCAAGGCAAAGGGCACTGTTGAAACGCTACCTGGTCGTGGCAGAAAGAAGATGCTGACTTCGACTGCTGTGCGCTACCTGAAGCGTAGAGTGGAGAGAAGTCCCCGTGTGACTGCTGAGGAACTGAGAAAAGATTTGTCAGATGTGGGTACAGAAGTTTCAGCCCAGACAATAAGACGCACACTGCGTAATGAAGGCCTCCGTGCCAGAACTCCCAGGCGTACCCCCTTGCTGTCTCCAAAGAATAAGAAGAGTCGACTGCAGTATGCCAAAAGCCATGTGGACAAACCACAAAAGTTGTGGGATAGTGTTCTGTGGACTGATGAAACAAAATTAGAACTGTTTGGGCCCATGGATCAACGCTATGTTTGGAGGAGGAAGAACAAGGCCTATGATGAAAAGAACACCTTGCCTACTGTGAAGCATGGTGGAGGGTCAATCATGCTTTGGGGCTGTTTTTGCTTCTGCAGGTACAGGGAAGCTTCAGCGTGTGCAAGGTACCATGAATTCTCTTCAGTACCAGGAGATATTGGATGGAAACGTGATGCAGTCCGTCACACACCTGAGGCTTGGGAGACGTTGGACCTTTCAACAGGACAATGATCCCAAGCATACCTCCAAGTCCACTAGAGCATGGTTGCAGAGGAAAGGCTGGAACATTTTGGAGTGGCCATCGCAGTCACCAGACTTAAATCCGATTGAGAACCTCTGGTGGGACTTAAAGAAAGCAGTTGCAGTGCGCAAGCCTAAGAATGTGACTGAACTGGAGGCCTTTGCCCATGAAGAATGGGCGAAGATACCCGTAGATCGCTGCAAGACACTTGTGTCAAGCTATGCTTCACGTTTAAAAGCTGTTATAACTGTAAAAGGATGCTGTACTAAGTACTAAGATTGAATGTCACTTGGGGGTTGAATAAAACTGATAATGCTGTGAGCACAGAAAAGACATTTGTGGTTATTTCATTATAACTGTTATGTTATATTTGTCTGACCTACAAGTGCCTCTTTAATGTAAATGTAAGCAAGATGACTGAATGATCAAAAGCAATGTCAAACTGGCCAAAACACTCAATTTCAGTGGGGGTTGAATAATTTTGGACACAACTGTATTTACAGAAAATAGAATTTAAAAATGTATCAAACTCTTGGCCCCACCCCTTCTAATCAAGGAATATGTAATTAATAAAGCAACACCATTTGTATACAGTATCTCACAGAAGTGAGTATACCCCTCACATTTTTGTAAATACTTTCTTATATCTTTTCATGTGACAACACTAAAGAAATGACACTTTGCTACAATGTAAAGTAGTGAGTATACAGCTTGTGCAAGAGTGTAAATTTGCTGTCCCCTCAAAATAACTCAACATACAGCCATTAATGTCTAAATCACTGGCAAAAGTGAGTACACCTCTAAGTGAAAATATCCAAATTGGGCCCAATTAGGCATTTTCCCTCCAAGTGACTCATTAGTGTTACAAGGTCTCAGGTGTGAATGGAGAGTAGATGTGTTAAATTTGGTGCTATCACTCTCACTCTCTCATATTGGTCACTGGAAGTTCAATATGGCACCTCATGGCAAAGACCTCTCTGAGGATCTGAAAAAAAGAATGGCCTAGGCTATAAGAAGATTGCCAAGACCCTGAAACTGAACTGCAGCATGGTGGCCAAGACCATACAGCGATTTAACAGGACAGGTTCCACTCAGAACAGGCCTCGCCATGGTCGACCAAAGAAGTTGAGTGCACATGCTCTGCGTCATATCCAGAGGTTGTCTTTGGGAAATAGACATATGAGTGGTGCCAGCATTGCTGCAGAGATTGAATGGGTGGGGGGGGTCAGCTTGTCAGTGCTCAGACCATACGCAACACACTGCATGAAATTGGTCTGCATGGCTGTCATCCCAGAAGGAAGTCTCTTCTAAGATGATGCACAAGAAAGCCCTCAAACAGTTTGCTGAAGACAAGCAGACTAAGGACCTGGATTACTGGAACTATGTCCTGTGGTCTGATGAGACCAAGATAAACTTATTTGGTTCAGATGGTGTCAAGCGTGTGTAGCGGCAACCAGGTGAGGATTACAAAGACAAGTGTGTCTTGCCTACAGTCAAGCATGGTGGTGGTGGAGTGTCATGGTCTGGGGCTGCATGAGTGCAGCTGGCATTGGGGAGGTACAGTTCATTGAGGGAACATAAATGCCAAAATGTACTGTGACATACTGAAGCAGAACATGATCCCCTCCCTTCAAAAACTGAGCTGCAGGGCCAACATGGTAATGACACCAAACACACCTCCAAAATGACCACTGCCTTGCTAAAGAAACTGAGGGTAAAGGTTATGGACTGGCCAAGCATGTCTCCAGACCTAAACCCTATTGAGCATCTGTAGGGCATCCTCAAATGGAAGGTGGAGGAGCGCAAGCTATCTAACATCCACCAGCTCCATGATGTTGTCATGGAGCAGTGGAAGAGGACTCCAGTGGCAACCTGTGAAGCTCTGGTGCTCTGGTGCCCAAGAGAATTAAGGCAGTGCTGGAAAATAATGGTGGCCACACAAAATATTGACACTTTGGGCCCAATTTGGACATTTTCACTTAGGGGTGTACTCACTTTTGTTGCAAGTGGTTTAGACATTAATGTCTGTGTGTTGAGTTATTTTGAGGGGACAGCATATTTGCACTGTTATACAAGCTATACACTAACTACTTTACATTGTAGCAAAGTGTAATTTCTTCAGTGTTGTCACATGAAAAGATATAATAAAATATTAACAAAAATGTGAGGGCTTTACTCACTTCTGTGAGATACTGTACATAGTTCTTGAATAGAGATTAGTCAGATGTACCTGGGATCAGTTCAAGGGAGGTTTCTTGAACTGTGCAGAAGCTCTGAATGGTAGTCTGAACCCCACCGAAGTGAGAGCCAAATTTTAAATGCAGTTCTGGAATTTTTTAAGGCTAATAGGCTAAATATTTTGAAGAAAGAAAAGGCATGGGGAGCTTGACAATGTCATAGGTAAAATGTATCAATGCAAACAATTTAAAAACTACCATTTCACAAGGATGAGTTATGTTAGTAAAGTGAAAAATGCGCAATTCCTTTAAATTCTATGTCTGGGGAATGCCTTAAACCTGCCTATTAAATGGTGTTTGTTTAATATATACAGTATAATGCACTACAGCAACATTGACATTTACAAAGAAAAAACATCATTTACATTTATTACCTGCTTTGTTTTGTTTGTAAACAAAATGATTGTGAATCCCTTTCATCTATAGCAGACAATTATCCTGAAAATGTCCCTGAATGGTTCCCCCTAAAAATAAATTTCAGATCCTTATTCTTAGTCAGGGGTTTAAAGGGGGACCCCCACAGAAAAAAAAAAAAACAGGGAAAGAATAGGGCATTGGGTCTCTCCAAATTTCAAGTGGGAACCCTATGCAAAAAACAAGAAAACGTGTGTCCCCCCCAAAATCTAAACTAGACCCCTATCCAAGCATGCAGCCTGGTTGGCCAGGAATAGGAAAGGCAGTGAGCATGACCCACCCCCCCCCCCCCAAACCTTACCAAACCAGCTGCCCTTAACATGGGGAGGTACCTTGTCAGGAAAAACCCCTTGGCAAAGCATCTTGTCCACATGTTCATGAGGACAAGGGCCTCTTCCCTACAACCCTGGCCTCACAGTTGTGAAGGTCTGAGGATGAGGGATTATCAGATTTCATAAAGCACTCTTTAGTAATAAGGGTGTCCAACAGATTCCATTCCATACCCCTCTTAAATACATAAGGGGGACATAGCACCCATCATTACTCACTTATTCACACAAAAATTAGAAAGTAAATAAAAACATTACACACCTTTGACAATCCTTTAAAAAAATAAAAAAGAACAAATCCAAAACAAGGTCTCACAATGTAAATCCATCTTAAATAGTATTGTCCCGTGATATAGATCCATGCCGATTATGTTGTCAGACAATGTGATTGACAGTGGATTTATATTGTGGGACATGTTTTTAGATCTCTTTTTTTTCTAAAGAACTTTTAAAAAGGTTTTTGGTCTTCATTTACATTTACTTTTTGTGAACCAGTATCCGCAGAGTGGGGATGGACACTATCTGGGGGGTCCTCTATTTATAAATGGGGCTTCTAGATTCCAATATGCTCTCCTCCCACACCACTGCTGGGCCAGAACTGAGGGGAAGAGGCCCCTATACTCATCACTTGGAATGGTTCTGGGGAGGCACATGCTCCCGCCTACTCTTTTCTGCATTCTTGTTTTTTTTTGTATCTTTTACATGGTGTCACTCCACAAAATCCAAATTGGATCACTCTCTAAGATAAGGGTCTAGTATGTAGTTTAGGAGGAACTAAATTTTTTTTTTAATTACACAAATTAAATCAAGCAAAAGGGCCCGGTGCTGTCTAATGTCATTAGCTGAATATGGTTATGATAATGTTTGGTCAATGACATCTCCAGGGATTCTGTGACCTTGTTTACAAGTGGCGGTTGCTAAGATGGCAGCAGCTTCTAGCATTTTAATAATCAATAAAACTGTGCAATCTTCAAGTATTCATTTATTGGTAGTGGTTTTCTGCAACAACTGATTGATAGCTCTTTAACAGTTTCTCACCTGGCCTTATATAATATGATGGCTGAGCGGGAGCTCTCCCGTTCTCATATGACATCCTCCCAGAATTGCGCCTTGTGTGCACCCCATGGGCCACGCCGCAGCGCAATATGTCACCTGCTGTGCTCACTAGTCACAGCAGATGACACATCAGTGTATTGGTCCGTTGCTGGTATCATGTGTTCGCTGTGACAAATCACAGCAGATCACATGTCAATTGGACACAATAGATGGCTTCCATTTATACCATTCATTTTGTAACTGTTGTGTTAATCTCAGTGAATGGATGCAGTGATCACATGGTACAGACAGGGCCAATCACAGTCCATCTGTACCATGTGATTAGTTGTAGCCAATCACAGCTAGCTACAATAGTACACAATGAATGAATGGATTTCATTCAGAAAAAGATGTTGCTTATAACAGTGATTGTCACTGTCATAAACGATCATAGCTTGTAAAAAAGAAAAATCCTGATCATCTCTGCAGAGAAGTACAGTGTTACTATGGTAACACTGTATTGCTCTGGTCACAGTATGTTAAAAAAAATAATACAAATAGAAAAAACATGTAATAAAAGAAAAATAAATAAAAATTATTTTTTTTTCACATGCTGTCCCTGATCACCTCCGTACCAGTTATATAATGACACTGTACTGAACTGATGACAATATGTAGAAAAAAAAAATTGTAAATACAATTTTTTTTGTTTTAATATCTTGATTTTCCAAATAATTGTGACAAAAAATTACTTAACAAAACTCACCATTCCTCTTACTAAATACCCTGGACTGTCTATTTTCCACAAAAGGTTCAAGCGCTGCATAAATTGACTGTATATAAGTACCTGTAATAAATAAATAAATACATTTGGAGGTATATGTACTATCCTGGTATTTTAGGGCCTCAAGAAATGAAAGGCTGTCAGTACATCAAGATTGATTGATTTTCATATAAATATCTATATATATATACATGTGTGTATATATATATATATATATATATATATATATATATATATATATAATTATACAGTATTTATAAAGCGCCAACAGTTCGCTCAGCGCTGTACATTACAAAGGGAGACAGAACATGCGACAGTACGAAAACAATACAACGTGATACACGAGGGGTTCGAGGGCCCTGCTCTTTCGAGCTTACAATCTAGAAGGGAGGGGATAGTGGTACAGGAGGAGATAGCTGTGGAGAATGGAGTGGTAGGAAGAGTGGAGGAAGTCGGCAATTAGCAGGAGAGTGGGGTAGGCTTCCCTGAAGAGGTGGGTTTTCAGGGTGCGCCTAAATGAGAGGAGAGTAGGTGATAGTCTGATTGATTGGGGGAGGAAGTTCCAGAAGATAGGTGATGTCCTGGAGAAATCCTGGAGGCGGGTGTCAGGGATCCTGCAGCGGTAGCCTCTAGCACTCCACAGACCGGAATCCCCCAAGGCGCAGAATCTAAGCTATGACCTGCTTGTTCACCAGAGCCCCTGATGGTGGGGATGGACTTGGAGCAGGCCGAGACCAGGTCGCGGCCCCTGGGTTCACCCAGCTGTGGTAGAGGCACCGTTGAAGGTGTATAGCGGGTAAGAGTCTGAAGTGAGGAGGTAACTGAAGCAGCGTCGGGCAGGCCGGGTCAGTAACAGTGGTGGCGGTGTAGTACAGAATCAGCAGGCAGAGGGATAAACAGGTCACAAGCCGGGTTCATCAACAGGAGGTCAGAACGTATGGGGTTAAGCAGGAGAACGGTCAGACAAAGCCAGTGATCAGAGCAGGAGACGGACAGCAAATCAGGATCAGGCAGGGTCGGCAACAAACAATCTACTCACTCAGGAACACAGATAAGACCATACGGCACTTGAGCATTGCATGAGCTGGGTTTAAATAGTCCGCCCGACTCCTGAAAGGTGCTCCTAGGTCCTAGTGCTTGCCCAGCGCCGTCATTTGTGACAGGCACGCCTGGGTCCTAGTGCCCGCCTGCCTGTACGTTTTGTCAGGATTCTACGCATGTGCAGATTCGATCGCTGCGGCGATCTTCCCATTCCCTGACAGCGGGCATGGGAGGAGGAGACCAGGGAACTAGAGAGAAGGAGGTCTTGAGAGGAGCGGAGTGTGCGTGTTGGGTGGTACTTGAATATTAGGTCAGTGATGTAGTTTGGGGCAGTATGATGGACAACTTTGTATGTCAGTGTTAGTATTTTGAATTTGATCCGTTGTGCAATCGGAAGCCAGTGGAGGGATTGCCAGAGGGGGGTGGCGGAAACAGAGCGGTTGGTGAGGTGAATGAGTCTGGCTGCCATGTTCAGGATCGACTGAAGCGGGGATAGCCTGTGGCGAGGCAGGCCAGTGAGGAGTGAGTTGCAGTAATCGAGTCGTGATATGATGAGGGAGTGAATGAGGTGTTTAGTGGTTTCTGGGGTTAGGAACGTGCAGATTTTGTCGATGTTGCGGAGGTGGAGTCTGCATGAGTTTGTTAGTGATTGGACTGGACTTGGGGCTGGAAGGATAGGTTGGAGTCCAGAATGACACCAAGTACTCTGGCCTGCGGGGCGGGCCTGATAGTGGCATTGTTGGACGTGATGGAGAAGTCAGTGGGGGGTGGTGTGCGAGCTGGGGGGAAGACTATGAGCTCTGTTTTGGAGAGGTTCAGTTTAAGGAAGTGGAGCGACATCCAGTCTGATATGTCGTTTAGTAGGTTTGTGATTCGGACGGAGACAGAGGAGGTGAGGCGAGGGGTAGAGAGATAGATTTGTGTGTCGTCGGCATAGAGGTGGTAGTTGAAGCCGTGAGAGTGTATGAGTTGGCGAAGGGAGGAGGTGTAGATGG